AAGAGGGGGAAGGAGATTTGTGGAAAATAGCATCGAGATGTCCGTTGTGCAATACGATTAAATTGGTATTAAATAGAAACACCGATGATTCGCGATATAAAGCGATATAAAGTATGGATCGGTGGAACGCGGCGACGCGGCTTTCCCGCGCGCGATTTTTTCATCCGCACCCGCGTGCCATCGAATTTTAGCGCGAGTAACACCGACACGCTGCCGTTCGAACAAATAACGAGAGATTGTTATTGTTTTTACGCGCGACAGGCAGAGCAGCGAATTTTACGAGCGAGCGTTAAACAGTTGAATATTACCGCGATCGTAAAGTCCCTTTTATCGTTCGTTCGAATCGTTACGCGATTTCCAGCAGATATAGATACGTGTACGCGGGATAAACGCGTAGACGAACGACGACTGGCACGTTCAATCCAAGTTTCGTTGATCATTAGAGTACGATCGATCGATCCAACGGAACAGGCTCGATGTTACTTTCAGTGGCGTGTTCGATAACGAACGACTCAGATTTTCAGCTAACGATCGATAGCAATTTAAGAGAAGACGATGCTAATGACGATACAATGACTTTTCCTTTTTCCCCGTAACACTTTTCTTCTCGCTTGAATTTTGACTTAACGTTCAGCTCCTGTTTCCGCGTATTAGCGTTTTATCGTCTCTAATACGCACGTGGAAATGAGAAATTCGTGTAACTTACCGATGTAATAGGGATCTGCGTAAAGGGCTGCAGCTTTAGGAGAGGTGTATCTCGGAGAGTCTTGCCCAAATTCATCCGAGCCATACTGCAACAAACAACGATTAAGGTTATTAATGCTGCGATAACTCCGAGCAAAAGATAACGCGTTCAACTGTACAAAGTATCCGAAACATTCGTCGAATTACGGTACATCCACTGTTCCATTCTACGCGGGTTACGGTGTATTACCGAGTAGAAAAGAAATAAAGAAAGGGTGGACACACGGAGTACGATGACGAAAAATGACTCGCGTCCTTGTCCCTTACCATTTTATAGCTGCCGTAGTCAGCAGGACAGACAAACATGTCGTCAGGAATGACGGGAAGCTCTCGAAAGCAAGTCAGATCGCGCGGTGGGACAACATAACCGCGGCAGCGCGGGGAACCGGCGATTTGCCAGCGTGGATGAACGCGGGGGTGGAAAGTGGTGCAGAAGGAGAGATTCGCGGCAGCATACCCTCGTCCCAATTTCACCGTGATATATGTTAAAATATTCCACACCGCTTCCCTTATTCTCCCGTCGAGAGCTCCTCTCCTCTCCCGCCGCCGTTCTGCCGAAAACTTTTGTCCGTGCTTCTCCTCTCTCCTTCGTGCCCCTCCACTTTGCTACCACCTTCTCCACCTGCTGCCAGTCAGACGACGGAGAGCGCGACGAAAAGCGCGACAGAACGAGAGGAACAACCAAGTTTCGGTTAACGCGAGGACTATGGTCGTTTAGGCTGAATTTAACGGCTCCGGGGTCTGCGAAAGAATCCTGGCAACTTCCACTTTTCAACAACTTGCAGAATCTCTCGCGAAATCGTCCCTCTATGGCACGCACGGCTGTCCGCGGAAGAGTATGGCGCGACGCTTTGGTCCAACTCAATTTCCACCTTCGTCCCGCGATTCGGCGTTGCGCGCAAGTTGACGTGGAAGCTTCAACGAGTGACAAGAAGCTCGAAGGCAAAGGGAGAATTCGATACCGACCACGCAAAGGGCGACACGAGACTGCGAGCAGCTTGGCTGCGCGTCAGCGCGCCGATTGACCGGACTGGGTAGTGGGGCTGATAGGAACCAATAGCGGAACACGATTCGCTACTAACAAACCAAGATGCGTCTAGATCCGTCCTTCTGATAACACGGGTCATCGGGAGTTCTCACTTTGTGCAAAGGCAAATTTGCATAATTGTACGTATCAGTCAATAACGTTTAGATTCGATGCCATCCAGGGAATACCGACAAGTGAGCGTTGTAAATTTCAAGCGAAGAAACGTTTCTCGTTGTGCTTAAGAGGGAGGAGAAAAATCACGATATAACTTGTAAAATGCGGAGTAAAAGGGGAAAAAAAAGAAGAAGAAGAAATAGAAAATATACGACGCGGAATCTAGTTCTAAGAACAAAAGATCTTCGAGAGTGTTCAGAACGCATCCGTATCTTTGGAGGGAGGAACGGGGCATATAATTGTGTGCGATAAAAGCATCAGGTTTATCGTGGCAGTAGACGATAACGGGAGTACAAATACGAACGCCCAGCCAGGGTGGGGGCATAAAAAAAGCTGCTACTAATCACGCGATAAAGGCTCGGCCTCTGGACCTATTAATTTAAATGAATTGCTTTGACATCGGTCGCTTCCGTGCATAGGCGGCGTTGCATCGTATTTTCTCCCTTCTTTCCGCGAGTCTCTTCTCCATTTCAGAACGTATGGCGGGGGAATGTCGAAGAGAAAAATCGAGCTATCGTTGCGATTCGATCGGGATCAACGGAAGCGACGATAGACCCGAGGAAAGCAAAATCGGATTGGCTACTGCGAAGAGAGAGGACACCGTGTGGCCAATAATTCACGTTTTATTTCCGAGTCGGTGGTGGTCGGTGGGCACGCAATAATAAAAATGTCTGACAGCCGGCAAGTCGGATCAGAAATCTTAATATGTCCTGGTGGGTGTCCACAGTAGCGAGAGTCAGCGATTTCCAGCCAATATAAATGTCCTACATTGATTTAGTTCTCTCGTTCCTCGGTTTGCGGCCGAGATGGAAAAGGAGGGAAACGAATGGAAACGTCTCTGTCAGGGAAATTAGCTTCCAAGGTTTGAAATAGGACAGAAGGGTCGGTAGTGTACGGGGAAAGCTACGCGTGTTACGTGACGTCTTCGGAAAATTCAGCACGTGATGTTCTCCTCACGTTCTTATGGCGACTGTTTTGTCGTCTTAGAAGTTATTTCCATCCGCGGGACAGTCGTTTCCGTTGCGTCATCGGTCAAAGCGTTGTTAAAGATTTGAGAAAAATTTCGCAAATCGTCGAGAATTTCTGGATCGTGAGAGGTCTCCTCGCGAAATCTTCTCTCGTCTTCGAACGAGAATGTCCTTTCGCTCGAGCCGCTTGATAAGGAAATCGTTTTAAAGGATAAAGTATTAACATCTTCCACGAACTCGGTAGTCTTCAGTCAACTACACGTGGGCGGAAATGAGTTTAAAAGCGGAAGAGAAGTCCGCGCGAATGGAGACTCGCCTCTCGTGAGATAATGGATCGCCGATTGCTCCCTTATTAATTGCTACAACGAAGCTATTTCCCATCGGGAGGCGAATAGTCGAAAGCAGGTGTCTCTTTCGTCGCGTGAGAATTCTTCTACTGGCGTTCTAGCACATTTAACACGTGTTTCACTGGTCTTAATTTAGGTGCATGCTGGCAGAACAATAAAATAATCCCTCGCGAACGTTGTATCTGCGTAAACTCTCTCCGTTTTATCGCCTTTTCCTCTATCCTTCCTTAATTGTCCACAACGGCATAGAAGCAACAAGTTCGTTTCTTCTGCTTCGTTAATTGTAACCAATAGATAATACACGCGATAACGCGTCTGCTTATCGATTTAATTAAATTTAAGCAGGAAACACCTGGACACTTTCCGCGAATTTAATTACTTCGATTTTTAAATCGATTTTTTCCTCCGACGTGCGATCACTCGAGGAATCAGTGAATCTTACCGACGAAAATGTTGTTCGTTCCTGCACTGTCTGCTCGCGAGCTAAGCAATTAATAAGCGGCAGTTTGTAAAAAGGCTGGATGCAACGGTCTTTAGGCTTAATGGCCGGCGTGTCACAGACGAATGTCGGATAATTTCTGCTCCCATACAGGCACCCCTGTATGAAACTGTTTGCTTCTACGCGAATTACTCGCGTCACGCGAACTTATATTATTAGTGATAAAAAAAGATGGGCTCTTTGCTTGAAACGATGAAACTCGCCCCCGAGCGCGAAAACTAGATAAAGATAGAACTGCAATGGCGAGAAGAAAGAAAGAAATAAAAATTTTACGCGATGTTGCGACGCCGGGCAGAAGAATGTGGGAACGATAGAACGTCATGGTAATTCCCGTATTTCCTTTTTCTGAATTTACGTCCCTTCGGCCCGTGTAAGACGATGTCCCGATGGGTTCCCATGGCAGAGGGAACGACCAGCTATAAAGGAAATACCCGTAGATGGAATAGGCATGTTCTGACACAGGACTACTTCCGGTTCTGCCATTTCGAACATCCGCGACGAATAGAAAATCGAGGCAACCGTCTCTCTTTTCTTCTTCGTCGGAAACGCAAGACCTGACCCATGTTCCAACGTGTTGCATAATTTCCAAGGGGAAACAATGAACGAGGCAATCGTCGAGCCGGGTAGGAAGACTCGTTGACTAGAGAATTGCTTTCGAGACGGAGTATCGAACTTTACACTCCTTAACGAAGCGAAGGCGATTCGGTATCTAAACTAGCGCATTCTGCGGCTCCGATTTCGCGGAATCGCTTTTATCGTATCGTAGAAAGAAACTGCAACAAGAAGAAGCGGAAAAGGAGGGAAGTTTGGTTTTGCAAAACACGAGATACAATACCATTTAGTATTTGAGATTTCATTAGTGGACGTTATTCCATCCGACATCTGATCGGCTGTTATGTCGACGCGAGAACAAACTTTACACGAATCGCTCTTGGCTTACCTTTCGCGCATATCGACCCCGATATCGAGGTCTTCGTTCTCTCTTCGGGCAAAGGTAGGG